GGTAACTTGGGAATGTTTACTTATGTTCAGGTTCCTTAGTTCAGTGGCTCACAACTGGTTTTATTCATTTAAAGATGATGGGCTTCACATCATCAAAAGTTTGGTGGAATTTTGCAGGCAAAAAGAAGCATTTTTTTATTGTCAATAGTGTATTGTTGTATGAAGCACAGCTCATATGGAAGACACATTCAAAACAAGCAGCTTTCTGTTAGTCCTGTTGCAAAATCTGTGTAGGGAAATCTTTCACCCTCCACAAAATTCCCAGTCGCATGGATTTCTAATGAAATTACTGGATTTAGCAAGCAAAAATTCAGCAAAAACTTGTTCCCCCATGTAAACTTTGCATTAGTTCAACTTTTGCGTTCTCTCTCTCCAAAGCTCTGCTTTTACCCAAGACAAGTTTTGTATGCTTGCAAAAGCATTGACATACAGATTTTACTCACAAAGTATGTTATTTCCTTCATCAGTTTTAGAGTCATTTTTCTGGGGAATGCAAACCTTTTGTGAGAATAGGACAAACTTTACTTAAATGGTTTAAAATGGTTAATCCTCAGTTGTAGCATGAGATTAGCAATATCATTGCCAATCTTCTGAAAGAGCAACTCCATATTAGTGCCTCGGGTATGTTCTTCCACAGAAGATTTCTTCAAACTAAAAACTCTATGTTTGGCTACTTTGCCTCAAAAACTGCCCAACTTATAGAAAGCTTTAGTGATTACTATGGAGAGAGGAATTCACTAATTCTGCTTGCTGATAGGGTTGGGCAATGTCTACATAATTGGCATCGGACGATGTCTAAAGTGAAACATCGTGATGGATGATGACATAGGCGGGGGCGAGTGGGGGGAGGGGTGTGGAGGAAGAGTTAGGGGTGTGCCCGAAGCGTGAATCCTTATAAGGGAAAACACGATTCCTAACACCGTGTCTACACCGGACGCGAGCGGCGTGGCGCGACAATATACTATAGAACCACTGATCTATAATGAGATTTATTATATATAGATCATTCTATAGAACTTATTATAATCAGTGATGCTGTCTACACTGGATGTGGCGCGGCACGACACGACAAATCCCCGACAGTAAACTGCTGTTCTATTTATGATGTGCTGACACAAATTTCAATTTATTTTCAACGGTCGCTTTGTCGCGTCCAGTGTAGACAGACTTTAGCTGATGCGACACGGCGCGACACGACAACTGTACTATGTCGGTTGCCTGTTACATTACAGTACATAAAATTTCACTTACCACATAAACAGAGTAAGGAGAGATGACTGAGGACGATGGCGAATGATTTGCAGATCCTCAGTACCACTGACAAACATATAATCTCGTAAAATGTGTGGCAAGTACTGCCGCTCCATAGTATGAACAGAGTACGTGCGATTGCGAATCTCAAAAGGGAAAGTAACGCAATCGTGCATTCAAAAGCACGATGCCAGTTTCAATGCCATGTATAATAACGGCTCCCTGATGCCGAAGATTTATTATATATAGATCATTCTATAGAACTTATTATAATCAGTGATGCTGTCTACACTGGATGTGGCGCGGCACGACACGACAAATCCCCGACAGTAAACTGCTGTTCTATTTATGATGTGCTGACACAAATTTCAATTTATTTTCAACGGTCGCTTTGTCGCGTCCAGTGTAGACAGACTTTAGCTGATGCGACACGGCGCGACACGACAACTGTACTATGTCGGTTGCCTGTTACATTACAGTACATAAAATTTCACTTACCACATAAACAGAGTAAGGAGAGATGACTGAGGACGATGGCGAATGATTTGCAGATCCTCAGTACCACTGACAAACATATAATCTCGTAAAATGTGTGGCAAGTACTGCCGCTCCATAGTATGAACAGAGTACGTGCGATTGCGAATCTCAAAAGGGAAAGTAACGCAATCGTGCATTCAAAAGCACGATGCCAGTTTCAATGCCATGTATAATAACGGCTCCCTGATGCCGAAATATGTAGTATAATTACCCAATTATATAACTGCGAGGAAAAATATTGAAATATATATTTTTCTCCCATCTCGTATTTATTTCCATTAGGGGTTTCGCCTACACGTCATTTTCTTTCCAAACACTGTATTGGAATGGGGGGGGGGTCACCTATCGGCCCAACCCTACTTACTGATTACATTGATTATTTGCACATGCTATCTTCTTTGATTTAGCATCACTAAATTATATGTAAATGCAAGTAATGTTATGAACATAACCACACAATTATTGCTGACCCCAAATGGCATATATCATTTAATGAATTACTGCTGCCATGATCAATCTAAAATGTACAAACACATAATTTCTATTTTCTACAATAAAATCAGTTTTACCACTGGCTTTTCATGCTTTTCATAGCATCAAATATTCACATGATTATTCTTTGAAATCTGGCCTTCAGATGTCAAGACTTTAAAAAGGAATGAGAGGTTTGATATGCGACTAGGCTAAATATCAATCAGTAGTTTTGCACTCGCTTGGCATCTCTGACTCATGACAGGCAATGGCTTAGGGCTTCAGGAGTTTGATTGCGGTTGAATCGTTACTCTCACCATAGCTGCAGTTGCCAGATTGGACCGATTGATCTTTGTGCTAACTGCTAACTGTAAAGCGGGTTAGCTCAGCTGTTGGCCTAGTATCTAGCTAATGTACTTGGCTTCATGTCTAATAATGGACTCTGGGTTAGAGTGCACAGAGGGTCCCTTTGTTGGCTTGTTTGACGTGTTTTGTTTGGGTATTTACCCACTGACTTCCTGTTAGGAGGTTGTGGGTCGGTCTGTGTGAGTGTGTGCCAGGGCATTCCTGATCCTCCTCCCCATCCTCACACGGAGCTCTGCAGTGACGTTAAGACTGCAGGTACCCTTATCATTAGCGCTATGTGGGGAATTTGCAGTTTTTCAAGAGTTGGACATGCGGTGTGGTAATAAGCTTCTCGTATTTGTGCCCATGTGTTTTGTTTGTGAATTCTGTGTGGGTGAGAGTGTGAGTACTTTCAGTGATTTATTAGTAGTGTAAAAATGTCCTATGGTTTGGTTTCAAGCTTGGATCGGAGATGTGTTGGTGTGTGAGAGTTTGAGTTGTTATATGGTATTTTATGCCCCTTAAGCTAGCTAACCGCAGCTCAGAATGCAGGGCCCCTTCGATCAGGGAACCAGTCCAGCAATCAAATCCCCAACCACAGTAATGCCTGGCAGCTGACTGCAGTCCTGCAGCACCATCCAATGCCCCCCATCCAGAACCCAACACTAATGTCCTCTAATGTGCTGCAGCACCAGTAATACTGCTAAACTTCTGCTGCAAAGAAATGCACTTAGAGTGAAAGTTCAGCCAAAAATGAAAAATATTCCCTTATGTTGTTCGAAATAACTTTATTTCTTCTGTGAAACATCAAATAAGATACTTTGAGAAATGTCTATTTTTTTTGTCCGTACACAGTCAAAACTGTTTGGTTACCAAGATTCTTCAAAATATTCCCTAGAAGAAAGGTTTGAAAAACATGAGGGTGAGTAAATAGGTTTGGGTATCGAGAACGGGTTTGGTTTTAGAATTGGTTCCAAATTTCAAAGAACACGTGGATTCAATAAGACACATTTCGATTTTGCTTATTGATTTGTGTGTGCATTTTAATGTGATTTTAAACAATTCAAGTGTAAGACGACATGAAGGTGAACTCAATTTGGCACTGACTTTCTGTTATCTGTGCTGCGCACACATCCAAAGCATGCATGCAAAAATCTGTCTCTTGTATAGTGTGAAAATACTGAATTTTGTTCTCTTTCACATCTTCTTGCATTTAACAAATACACACAAAATTAGCTCAAAATGTCCTCGTAAATACAGTTGTTGTTGTTTTCTTAAGTGAACATAAACAAAAAAAAACAAAAAACAACATGTATCAGTATATTGGAGCCTTGCATTAGGTCTTAAAGTGACAGCAGCCTGTATACCTGCTGCTGTTTGTGCCAATTATGTTAATCTAAGAACAAAAGAAAAAGAAAACCGTTCACTGATTTTGACGCAATAACTTTTGTAACTTTTAAGGGGACAAAACACACACCGCTTCTGCCAATCTCATGTTAATCTTGAGTACCTATAGAGTAGTACTGCATCCTTCATATCTCCAAAAAGTCTTTAGTTTTATCATATTTGTAAAATAAATATATAGCTATACGATTCTCTCCGTAAACAGCCGAGCTCCGGGAAGCGCGCCGTGGGCAGAGCTAACGATTGACGAGCACTTGAGCTTCGATTGGCAAAAAAACACAGACATTTGATGTAGTTTCACGTACCGTCTGCAGTTCTGAATCATGACCGGGATTTTTATAGCTGGGACCGCTCCATCTTTCAGTATCAAACGATGTACAAATACAGCGTCGAACTGGGCCTTGTTTATAAAATGTTCGTCAACATGGAAAAACAAACTGCATCCACTGTTTACATAACGCTGGGCTCCTTAGGAAGCTGAACAAAGATATCTTTCCCTTACAACCAAAAACACGGTTCTTTGGAGACGTTCTTCCCGAGCGAGTCCCGTGCAGCGCTGCTGAATGAAGCGCGTTGATGGGCGCGCTTTTGCTCTCGCTCTGTTCGATGTGTGTGCGGGCGCACTCTTCCGGGAGAAATGTCCATATAAGGAGGTCCACCCTCGTTTACGTCATGAAGAGCCACAATCGAAGAAAAAAAACTCTCAGAAACTTGTACAAACCCGGAAGTAAGATTTTTGGCACAGAAAAACCAAATTGTTTTTTTAAACTTTGTCCATGCTTAGCATGAGAATCCAACTCCTTAACAGTGTAAACAACTCTGAATGCATGAAACAGCATTGTACCACCCTTTAATTGTTATTATCAGTGTTGAAAACAGGTGTGCTGCTTAATATTTTTGTGGGAATCGTGATTATTATATCTGACAACTTCTATATTGTGCATCTGTACTATATGATGAGAAAGGCATCTTACTCTTTCTTTCTCTGGCAGATGACAGTATTTCTGCAGCGAGCACGTCAGATGTGCAGGACCGCCTGTCGTCTCTGGAGCTGCGGGTGCAGCAGCAGGAAGATGAGCTGACGGTGATGAAGGCCGCGCTGGCAGACGTGCTCAGACGTCTGGCTCAGTCGGAGGACGCTGCCGCTGCTGCCAAAAAACAGCAAAGCAGCAAAGGTAACCTAGCACTGCTCTGTGTGTGTGTGTGTGTGTGTGTGTGTGTGTGTGTGTCTTTGCCTCCAGTGATCCTTGCACTGTTTACATGGAGGAAGTGTAGGAGTGCAGCCAGACCAGGATCTGTTAACAGTTTCAATCCAGCCTTGACCCACGGCACTGAACGTTTCCATTTGAATAGCAGCTGTGTGTGTGTGTGTGTGTGTGTGTGTGTGTGTGTGTG